TTCAGTTGGATTATTCACCTTTATCTTGTTGTGGTGCTCAAGTATTTTATAAATTCTAGATATAAGTCCCTTATCTGACATGTCATTACCAAACACTTTTCCCCAGTCTGTGGCTTCCCTTTTTACCCTGTTAGAGAAGTTTCTGGATGCGCATAGGGATTTGATTCTTAGAAGGTCCCATTCATTCTAATGATTCCTCTAAAAAGTCTTTAGAGTATCAAATACAGATTTTTCTTTTCTTCTAAGATTTCAACTAAAAAAGCCCCCAAATTATTTTTATTTTCTTTCTGTCTGCACCAGATCAAAAGTGCTTCACTGTACTCTCACAATCGTTGCTTCTTTCACTTTTCAACTGTTTCAGTTAAGGAGAATGGAAGAATTTCTTTGGTATAAACTATGTATTTGAGAATTAGTATTATTTTGCACTGTTTAATGAAAGTGTAGGTCTTCTACTTTAATTAATTAATTTATGGCTTTCTTTTTGTCCCAACTGGGTGTTGGCAGAGGGGATTTGCCAGATGAATTGGGGGTCTCTGGTTAGAGTCCGGCAGCATTTGGGCATGCTAGAATTTTGAAATACTGTATGGCCCTCGGGACAAATATTGATTTTGGATGAACACTCTTTTGAGTGGTACAGCAGAGGTCTGTCTATTTGCTCTACTGAAATAATATAGAGTTGCTGTGATGGTGGACAACTGGGCCATCAGTGTGTCAAACACTATATCTGGCTACCCATCATAGCCAGCTTTTGTAGGAGCTTCCAGATTGATTCAGGTTTAGGAGGAGGACTGGCATCCACTTCTTAAACTACATGCCTATGGAAAGTCTAAAAACTTGGAGAAATGATGATAGTTAAAAGAAAGGCTTCAGGCCTTTATTCATCTTCTGTTTTTATATATATCCTTCCTTCATGTGTACTCAGTCTATATGATGGACAAATCATTGAAGAAGTTAGACTCTGAAGAAACATGTGGCAACAGAATAGGAGGAGATTGAAGAAGCAGCAGAATGCTACCAGACGGGCATTTTTGGGTGGTGAGAGCCAATGAGAATGCATTATTATGGAGGAATTTGGGATGACAGAGCTCATGGACTTTGAACCATATTCTGGTTCTTAACATTGCCACACACTTAAATTGACAACCGTGCTTAGAAACACATTTTTTTTTTTGCTGTCATTTGCGGCAACGCGTTAAACTCAGTAGGTTCAGGTCTTTCGTTCATAGGGTCACTATGAGTCGCCTATGACTCGACGGCACTTAACAGCAACAACAACAACAACAATAAGAGAGCTCAGTTGGACTAGTGGACAGAAAGTGATGCTACCAAGCCGAAGGTGGGTGGCTTTAAACTATGGCCCTCAGGCTGTTTTTAATCAAACATTGTTCTAGGTCGTATAGCCCTGGTCTGTCCACTTTCTATACAGAGGTTAACTTGTGATTGCTGTGATGCTGAACACGGTGACACTGATGTGTTAAATGCAATAATGGTTACCCGTGGTGGACAGGGTATGGTGGAGCTCCCTGATTCAAACAAGCTTGGAAGCAGGAGTGGCATCCATTTCTGAAGTAGCTTGTCTCCAGAAACCCTATGAACCTGGAGAAAGGATGAAAGTTATACAAGTGTTTAGTCTTTCGTTCATAGGGTCACTATGAGTCCCCTATGACTCAATGGCATTTAACAACAGCAACAAAAACAACAAGGTAAGTATAAGTATTTAAATGTTTTAT